AGGCTCAAGGTTGACTCAGCCTTCCATCCTTTCTAAGGTAGGTAAAATGAGGACCCAGTTTGTGGGGGCAATAAGCTGACTTTGTATAAATATACAAAAGTAGGAAGGCTATTGCTTAACGCACTGTAAGCCGCCCTGAGTCTCCGGAGAAGGGCGGCATATAGATCAAACTAATAAATAAATAAATAAATAAATAAATAAATAAATAAATAAATAAATAAATAAATAAATAAATAAATAAATAAACAAATAAACAAACAAACAAACCATGACCTGGATGACGGAGGAACTCCACAGGTCTTTTATAGACAATATTGAAAAATCTGAGAATCGGTGCCCACTCTGTCGAACCACCCCTGTTACTCTGGTGCAGTTAATAACCTGACTAACGAAAAGCATTCCTCCTTTCGTGAGTCATTCAATTCTTGGAAGAATATCTTGTGTGCAAAGTTAACATATGCGACTGGAGACAGGGTACCAGAAACTGGGCTGCAATTAAAATCTAATTTTCACAGACTTCTCCCCAAGAATATATAAAAACCAGGCGTAATTATCAGCTGGTGTCTTTTTTTGTGTTTTGTTTTTTTTACAGTCAAGCCTCCGTAAAGTAGCCTGCGACACATTCTTAAGAGATTGTGTGATGCACAATGCACAACGCTATGCCAGAGGGGCTACACCCGATATTTGGGACATTAATCATCTCGAAGGTGACGTCATGCCCAGAATGACATAGGGAAAGAAGATTCTGTCGGAAACAGAATTTTAATTGGCAAAGGCCGAAAAAACGAAAACTCTTCGAATACGGCTGGTCCTGGATTTACAACGGTTCGTTTAGTAACCGAAGTTACAACGGCACTGAAAGAAATGACATGGTCGTTTTTCACTCTTGTGACCGTTGTAGCATCCCTAGGATCATGTGATCAAAATTCAGACATTCGGCAAATGACTCGTTTTTATGACGGTCGCAGCGTCCTGGGGTTACGTGATCCCTTTTTGCGACCTTCTGACAAGTAAAGTCAATGGGGAAGCCAGATTCACTTAACAACCATGTTACTCACTTAACAACTGCAGTGATTCACTTAACAAGGTGTGGCAAGAAAGGTCGTAAAATGGGGCAAAACCCTCTCAACAAATATCTCACCTAGCAACAGATACTTTGGGCTCAATTGTGGTTGTAAGCCGAAGACTACTTGCACAGGTATTTCGTTTATAATTTTGAGATTTTTACATGTAGTAGCATCCTAGTCACTGTAGGTAGGACGATGTATATATATTTGTTTTCTGAGGTTTTCGCGGGTGTTTGTATGTAGGTCTTTGGTTATTCGGTTTTCTCCCGCGTAAAATTGGAAGTGTCTTGGCGACGTTTTGACGAAGTCTCATTCGTCATCTTCAGGCTGGTGTTTTCGGCTTTGTGCTTCTAGGAGCAATGTGAGATCGAAGCAGTTAAAGGAAGAAACAGCTGCGATCTCACATTGCTCCTAGAAGCACGAAGCCGAAAACACCAGCCTGAAGATGACGAATGAGACTTCGTCAAAACGTCGCCAAGACACTTCCAATTTTACGCGGGAGAAAACCTGAATAACCAAAGACCTACATATATATATAACTTACATAAACAAATATATATATAAAACTTACATAAACAAATATATATATATATATATATATAATTTGATTTATATGCCGCCCTTCTCTGGAGACTCAGGGCGGCTTGCAATGCATTAAGCAATAGCCTTCATACTTTTCTATATTTATACAAAGTCAGCTTATTGCCCCCACAAACTGGGTCCTCAATTTACCTACCTTAGAAAGGATGGAAGGCTGAGTCGACCTTGAGCCTGGTGAGATTCGAACTTACAGTAATTGCAGACAGCTGGTGTTAATAACAGTGCTTTAGTCTGCTGCGCTACCAGGGCTCCTATTAGTAGGCAATTGTTTAATGACCTACCGGTAATTTGTTTAATGATTGTCTCTGCACTAGAAAGAGTGCAGAAAAAAGCAATAAAGATGATTACGGGACTGGAGGCTAAAACATATAAAGAACGGTTGCTGGAATTGGGAATGGCTAGCTTAATAAAAAGGACTAGGGGGAACATAATAGCAGTCTTCCAGTATTTGAGGGGCTGCTACAGAGAGGAGGGGTCAAGCAGAGCACCAGAAGGCAGGACAAGAAACAACAGATGGAAATTAATCAAGGAGAGAAGCAACCTGGAACTAAGGAGAAATTTCCTAACAGTGAGGACAATTAACCAGTGGAACAGCTTGCCACCAGAAATTGTAAATCCTCCAACACTGGAAGTTTTTATGAAGAGACTGGATAATCATTTGTTTGAAATGGTGTAGGATTTCCTGCCTAAGCAAGGGGTTGGACTAGAAGACCTCCAAGGTCCCTTCCAACTCTGTTATGCTATGCTATGCTATTCTTTGTGCTTATTCTATTCTCTGTTTTGTTCTATTCTTTCTCTATTCCTATTCTATCCTATTCCATTCTCTTTCTCCATTCCATTCCACTCCTATTTTATTCTTTTGTTACTGCCAGATGTTTTCTACTTAAGCTCCTAACGTCATGGTGTAAAAATGATCTTGTTCGTCAAGAAATTTTAAGATTTGAAGTTCAATAAATTTAAAAAGCAGCTGGTTTAAGAAATGGGGGTTCATGTTTTCAGCCCAAAGCCAATTATCCTCTTTATTTTCTATCTGCAATTATGACCTATGACATTTATACTACAGGGAGTCCACGACTTAAAAACCATAACTGAGGCACAATTTTCCACTGCTAAGCCAGACAGCTTGTAAGTGAGCTGAGGCTCATTTTATGACCTATCTTGCCATGGTTGGTAAATGAATCATGCGGTGGTTAAAGGAATCCAGCTTCCCCACTGACTCTGCTCGTCAGAAGGTGGCAAAAGGGAATCACCTGATCCTAGGATATGCAAGGATCCTAAATAGGAGTCAGTTGCTAAGCCTCTGAATTTTGGTCACGTGATCACGGGGCAAGGGTCGTTAAGTGTGAAAACCGGTTCACGAGTCACTTTTTTTCAGTGCCGTCGTAACTTTGGTCACTAAGCAGATGGTTGTAAGTCAAGGACCACCTGTACTCTTCTATTCCTCTGCCTTTACAGACAAAACCTAGCAAGACCTAGGAGCCTTGGTAGTACAGTGGTTTAATGCACCCTGTTATTAACACAGCTGCCTGCAATTTCTGCAGGGTTCGAATCTCGCCAAGGCTCAAGGTTGACTCAGCCTTCCATCCTTTCTAAGGTAGGTGAAATGAGGACCCAGTTTGTGGGGGCAATAAGCTGACTTTGTATAAAATATACAAAAGGATGAAGGCTATTGCTTAACGCATTGTAAGCCGCCCTGAGTCTCCGGAAAAGGGCGGCATATAAATCAAAATTAAAAGAAAAAAAAAGAAAAAAAGAAAAGATTGATTGATTTGGTCAATTTGTACTGCTCTCTGTTTCTTCTACGAGAGTCTGAGAGGCAGGACCTGCTGAACACTCAGCCACCATACAAACAACCTGACCCAAAATGTAATCACCAAGACCACACAAAGCCACACAGACCCCCCCACACACACACACACAAAAGCAAGGGGGGGAGGTTACCTAATCTGCAATAGAAGGCAATTTTGGCAATCCTCAGCGGCAACAGTACTAAAATGAGGGGGTAGTCCTGCAAGGAATCAGGAAGGCTGCTGGGGGCACGAGCCCTTCCACAGCCTTCTCCGGAGGCTAAAAGGTAACCCAGCGTCTTTCCAGTCACCCTCCATCCCTGGGGGTCTCCTCCACGTCCTCCTCTTCCTCTCCGTAAACCCCCCTCCCTTCTAGCACTGACGATTGTCACCTAGTTGGGTCATGAAACGTCTGCAAGAAAGCAGCTGAGATCAGAAACCACCAAGGACCCCCATAGTCCTCCTCCTCCTCCTCTCCTTTCCCTCCCCCTCCTCCTCTTTCCCCTTCCCTTTCTCTTCCTCCCCTTCCATTTCTCCTCCTCCTCTTTTTCCTCTCCTTCTCCCCCTGCCCTCCTTTCCTCTTCTGATCCCCCTCCCCATTTCTCCTCCTTTCCTTCCCCTCTGCTCCTTTTCGTTTCCTTCCCCTCCCCCTCCATTTCTCTTCCTCCTTCTTTTCCTCTCTTTTTCCTCTCCTTCCCCCCCTGCCCTTCTTTCCTTCCCTCTGCTCCCCTTCCTCTCCCCATTTCTTCTCCTTTCCTTCCCCTCTCCCCCTCCGCTCCTCTTCCTTTCCTTCCCCCTTTTCCTCTCCTTCTCCCCCTGCCCTCCTTTCCTCCCCTTCCTCTCCTTTCCCTCCCCCTCCTGTATTTCTCCTCCTTTCCTTTCCTCTCCCCCTCCCCACTTTTCCTTTCCCTCTGTTCCCTTTCCTCCCCCTCCATTTCTCCTCCTCCTCCTCCTCTCCTCCTCCCCCCTGCCCTCCTTTCCTCCCCGTTCCCCTTCCTCTCCTTTCCCTCCCCCTCCTCCTCCCTTTCTCCTCCCCCTCCTTTTCCTCTCCTTCTCCCCCTGCCCTCTTTTCCTCCCCCTCCCCATTTCCCCTCTTTTCCTCCCCCCTCTCCTTCTTTTCCTCTCCCCCCTCCCCTTCACCTCCTTTCCTTCCCTTCCGCTCCTTTCCTTCCTTTCCTTCCTTTCCTTTCCTTTCCCACCCGCCCCCACATTTCTCCCCCTCCCCCTCTCCATAATCCCCCACCCAGCACTGCTGATGTTTCCTGGTTGGGTCATGGAAGCTGAGGGAGCACCCAACGACCCCAAGGGAGGCTCTACTCCCAGATATTGTAAATTGGTCAGGTTCTTGAGCGGGGATGGTGGGTGGGGGGAGCCTAGGAGCGCCCCAAAGGTCATCCAAACGGTCCCCCTCCCCACTTCTCCCCCCCCTCTTGCTCTCCCCTGATCCCTCCCTACTCAGCCCCTCCTTCTTGCTCTCCTCCCTCCCTCCCTCCCCTCCTCAGGGTCCCCCCGCCTCCTGTCAATCACGCCCCCCCCACGGGCCCACCTTGAGGGTCACGTCGCACAGCTTCCCCTGCCTCCTGATCTCTCCCATCACCCCGTAGCCGCGGCTGGGCAGGTCGCCCACCGAGAAGTGCACCAGGTCCTCCGGGTCCAGCTCCGGGTCCGGCCCGGCCGCCTCCAGCATCTCGTCGCCTTCCACGCCAAACCCGGCTGTGCCGGGACCAGCCGTCCTTCTCGCTCGCTCGTTCGCCCGACGCGGTTTGGCTCCGCCCGGCCACCGTCGCCTCGCCGCCGGGAGATCGCCAGACCGGAAGCCAGGCAGGCCCCGCCCCCCTCGTTCCGCCCTCCCTCAGCGGAAGCGCCCGTCGCCTCGGCAACAGAGCCTTACGGAAGAAGCCGTCGCCAGGGCGACGGCGTGCTCCGCGCATGCGCCGTTGCCCCTCGCTCCCTTTAGAACCGGTCCTGAGGCGGCGGGCCTCCCTGCGCCGCTGCTGCCGCCACCGCCGCCTGGGAGCGAGTCCTACTAGGTCGCGACGGCGGATGGCGGCTCTCGACGGGAAGGCCCCGAGCCAGGATAGGGTGCAGAGCCGCAGAGGCAAGGTGGACCCTCCCCCCCCCCCCCCCTCCCTCCGGGTCCCCCCAAATGAGTCTGGGGGCGCTTCGGGGGGAGAAGAAAGGGCCTCTGAGGGAATCTCTGTTCTGCCTGGTCTTCCCGCTCTTTTTCCTTCTCTCTGAGAGCCTCTGAAAGCCCCTGAGGAGATTTTTTTCCTTTTTCTTTTTTCTTTTGGCAGCCCTTCCCTTTATCTTTATCTTTTAATTTGGGGGGAGGGGCTTTTAATTGTAAGCAGCCCAGAGTGCATCTGTCTATCATCTATCTTTATTTATAATTATCTATTTATAATCTATCATCTCTATTTATAATCTATCATTTATCATCTATTCTATCATTTCTATTTATCATCTATCATCTATTCTATCTATTCTATCATTTCTATCTATAATTATCATCTATTATCTATATAATCTATAATCTATCTATCTAGTCTATTCTATCATTTCTATCTTTTATAATCTATCATTTATCATCTATTCTATCATTTCTATTTATAATCTATCATCTATCCTATCTATTCTATCTGTCATCTCTATATAATCTATCTATCTATCATCTATCATCTATTCTATCTATTCTATCATTTCTATCTATTTATAATTATCATCTATTATCTATATAATCTATAATCTATCTATCTAGTCTATTCTATCTATCATTTCTATCTATTTATAATCTATCATTTATCATCTATTCTATCATTTCTATTTATCATCTATCATCTATCTATTCTATCATTTCTATCTATTTATAATTATCTATTATCTATATAATCTATAATCTATCTATCTAGTCTATTCTATCTATCATTTCTATCTATTTATAATCTATCTATTTATAATCTATCATCTATTTATTCTATCTCTATTCTATCATCTCTATAATCTATTTCTATCATCTCTATGATCTATCATCTATCTATATCATCTATCTCTACCTATCTATCATCTTTATCGTATCATCTATCTATCTATCATCTATCGATTATATCTATTATCTAATCTATCCCTTTCTATAATTTCTGTCTGTCTTTAACTCTCTCTCTCTCTCCAGCCATCCATCCATGCATCATACATACATATTATTTCCATCCATCCATCCACTATATATGTCTATTCTATCTAATAACTATCCATCCATCCCTCACACATATATATCCTATCTATCCATCATGCCTATTATCTCCATCCATCCATCCACCATATATATCTATTCCATGCGTCTACGGTAATATCCATGTATCTAATATCCATGTATGTAATATATTTTCATCCATTTTACATGCCTATTATCTCATCCATCCATTCCATCCAACCATACGTTCTTTCTTTTATCTTCTATCTATCCTGTACCTACCTACTACCCCTCTACCAATCATTTATCTATTAGTTATCTATATTCTGTTGTATTGATCTGTCATCTACCCATATTTATTTATGTTGCATCTATTTTCTCTATCAATCCACCTATTGCATCTATCTATCTGTTAGCTATCGAATCTGTCTTTTGCATCTATCATTACTTCTAAATGAGATTGGCGACACATAAATCAAATAAATAAATAAAATTTATTAATTATCAATATTCTGTCATTGGTTGATCTATCATTAACATCTATCCCTACATTGCATCTATCTTTCGCATCTCTATTAATGATTTATATTCTGACTTAATGACCTATCAACTAACATGGCATCTTTTGCCTCTCAATTGCATTCTGTTTTACTGACCTAATCTGTTTATTGCATGGTTTACCTTTTGCATCTGTCATCATCTTCTACCTATCTCTATTATTTATATTTGTCTTACTGATCTATCATCTTTTGCATCTATTATCAGTTTTCTAACCATTCTGGTTAATTATCTATATTCTTGATCTATCATCTATCACATCTTTCTGATTGCATCATTCATATCTATCTGTCATTGGGATCTATCCGTTATTCATCTATATCTATCACATTTAGAAACTGCCCAACTCTCACAGGAGAACTTTGGGCAGTATACAGTTAAAATGTTAAAAACATAAAAGCTGAATATAAAAGTTAAAAGAGAGGCGAGACTAGATAAATTCAACCTTACAAGGCCAAGGAAGGACTTATAGGGCACTCATTGGGAGTTGACTAGCCTATAACTTACATTACTGAATAAATAAAAATATTAAATTTCCCTCCTAATTACTGTATTTTTCGGACTATACGATGCACTGGTGTATAAGACGCACCAAGATTTTGAAGAGGTAAGCAAGAAAAAAAAAGTTTTTGCCCTCCCTGGCTCCCAGAAGCACTCTGCAGGCCTCCCAAACCCTTTGCGTGTCCCGCTTTTCGCAAGAACGGGGTGTGCAAAGGGGTTGGGAGGCCTGCAGAGTGCTCCTGAAGGCTGGGGAGGGCAAAAACGCGAAGCATGGGGGGTTTGGGAGGCTAAAAATGGGGGGGTTTCCCACCCCAGCCCAAAGGGGCACTCTGCAGGCCTCCCAAACCCTCTGCGCACCCTGTTTTTATGAAAAGCAGGCCCGGGTAGGGCTTCGGGAGGCCAAAAATGGCTGTATTCAGTGTATAAGAAGCAGCAACATTTCCACCCTCTTTTGGGGGGGGGGGGGAAGTGCCTCTTATACTCCAAAAAGTACAGTAATACAGATGGTCCTCAACTTACCATTTACCCCAAAATTTCCATTGTTAATTGCTGCAGCAATTCACTTAACAACTGCGGCAAGAAAGATCCTAAAATGAGACATAACTCCTAGTAACAACCATCGTTGCTTAGCAATGGAAATTTGGGGCTCAGTTGCGATCATACGTCAAGGACTACCTGTGTGCATTTTTCAAACCAATATAATTGTAATCCGCCTAGAATTACTTTGAGATAAGATAGGTGACGTATACATTTTATAAATAAAGGAATAAACCCTCCGATACTGTGCAGTTAGAGGAATCCAGGCTTCACAGATAGTCCTTGACTCACAGCCGCAATTGAGCCCAAATTTTTGTTGCTAAGTGAAACATTTGTTAAATCAATTTTGTCCCATGAATGTAATGAAATCCCTGCAGTTGTTAAGTCAATAACACAGTTGTTCAGTGAATCTGGCTTCCCCATTGACTTTGCTTCTCAGGAGATCACAAAAAGGAATCCACATGGCCCTGGGACATTGTGATCATCATTTTGTCTGTCTGTCTGTCTGTTTGTCTCTCCTACCCATTATCTGATCTTTCTGTCTGTCTTATCATTTATCTCTGTATGTCTGTCCATCCCTCCATCCATCCACTTTATGGCCATCATATATATGAACCCATTGCCGAGGATCTGAATTTTGATCACCTGACCGCAGGGATGCTGCAATGGTCGTAAGAGTGAAAAATGGTCATAAGTCACTTAGTCAGTGCCGTCGTCACTTCAAATGGTGACCAAACAAACTCGCAAGTCGAGGACCACCTGTATTTCTTTCCCCCAGACCTCACGACCATGGACATCAATTCGAAGAAAGTGAAGGCCTTCACGCGGGTGAAGCCCACGGCCGACTTTCCTCAAGACGTCATCAAATTCGGAGCCGACAACAAGGTAAAAAAGAGGATCAAAAGTTTCTCCTCTCGGTCCTTTTTTCACTGGTGAAATGGATGCGCCTTAAAAGAGGAACTCACCTGACTTCCCGTTCCAGACGATCGAGGTTCACGTTGAGAGGGATCTTTCCAAAGGCATCGTCAACAACAAGCTGACCGACTGGTCATTTAAGATGGACGGCGTTCTCCACAACGCATCGCAGGACGTGGTTTATGATGCAGTCGCCAAAGAGCTCGTCTCGCAGGCCCTGAACGGCTATAACGGTAAACCATCAATGATCGCCGTTAACAGAATAACAGAGTGGGAAGGGACCTTGGAGGTCTTCTAATGCAACCCCCTGCCATTTCAAACAATTGACTGTCCAGTCTCTTCTTGAAAACCTCCATTGATGGAGCACCCACAGCTTCTGGTGGCGAGCTGTTCCACTGGCTAATTGTTCTCACTGTAAGGAAATTTCTCCTTAGTTCCAGGTTGCTTCTCTCCTTGATGAGTTTCCACCCATTGCTTCTCCTGCCTTCAGGTGCTTTGGAGAACAGCTTGACTCCCTCTTCTTTGTGGCAGCCCCTCAAATATTGGAAGACTGCTCTCATGTCACCCCAGGGGTGGGTTTCAAAACTACCAGTTTGCTTGTGGGTGCCCCATCACCATTATAAGTCATGGTGGGAGTACAGCGGGGCCCCTTATTGTGCGCAGAAGCGTCCGTGCGGAGCCTCCCGCTGCCGCCACTACTGGTTTATCGATCCGGGGCAAATCTGTAGCAACCCACCACTATGTCATCCTTAATCCTTCTTTCCACTAAACTAGACATACCCAGTTCCTGCAGCTGTTCTTCACCCTAGGATGGCATTTTTTGGCAGCTATTCCACGTATCAGCATTGATACGGATTCATTGCAAGCTAGAATGAAGGAGAAAATTTCAGGACGGTGGGAACAATTAATCAGTGGAACGGCTTCCCTCCAGAAGTGGCGGCTGCTCCGTTCCTGGAGGTTTTCTTGAAAACTGGACTGGGCAACCATTTTGTTTGAAAAGGGATAGGGGTCTCCTGTTTGACCAGGGGGGTTGGACTAGAGCAGGGGTGTTAAACTCAAGGCCTGGGGGCTGGATCCGGCCCACGGG